GTGGGAGGTCCAGGCTTCCAGTTCCAGTTATGGAATGAACAAGCCACGGGGATAAAAGGTACATCATACAGAATATAGTCAGTATATAGCATTGTAGGGTGACAGATGGGAGCTACACTTGTGAGCACTGCATAATGTGTAGATTTGTCAAATCACTCTGTTGTACACTTCAATTTAAAACAAAAGAATAAGCAGAAATCTGAAATGGAACTCAACATGAAAGCAATCAAAATGAGGTTGTCATACCAGAGGCTTTCTTAATTTTAACTTTTCATTTTTCAAAAAGAAGCTTATTGAGTGCTTAGACCTTGCCAAGCAGGGTCTCAGCACTTCACACATATTAAGCATTTACTGTCTGAGACACAGGGAGGCTATGACATAAATCCTGAAGCCATGCATCCTTGTCCCCTTCACTTTTGTTTTATCGAAATAGAGAAATTGAAGTCATTTATTCTCTCCCACTTTGAAAGCACTTTGGGCTTTGAGGAAAATAAGGGAACCTCGCCATCTGGTGGCCGCTTATGGTATGTGACAATAAGGTGACCCCCTTTCTGCTCTCAAGTAGGTAGAAGGTGAGTGAGGCCTCCCCCTTGCTACTCAAACCTGTCAAGGCACCTCTCAAACAGCTGAGCTGGCCTCTCCTCAAGGGCCCTTGTCTTTAAAAAATCCCATCCTCTGCCCAGATCCATCCTAAGGAAAACTGAAATAGCAGTTTTTTTCTGTCTTCTTCATGGAAGGAGGTTTCATGGGCCAGAACAGCTCCCCCACCCCCGATCTTATTTCATTTTCAAAAAGATCAAATATTCAGTGTTCATGCCTTCTAGGAAGGGATTCACAGTTGGCCAGAAAATTCTTATGCTAAAATATCGACTTCGTAGTTGCCTCCTGTATCTTGGGCTTTGTATCCACAGAAGAGAAAGGAACACACAGGCATCATTTGTTTTAAACAACTTCAGGGAATTCAAATGTCACATGGAAGTTGAATATTTGAATTTCTAACCATAATGATTCTCTGGGTACATTGTTTTCTTAAATACTTGATTCATAAAGCACAGCTTTTGAAATTTGGGTTTCTCAACCCTAGATAGGTTCTGTTCATGATTTTCAATTGCCTGTCAGAGGTGTGCCCAGCTAGCTATATCAGAATAACTTGGGAAAATTAAAACACAAATACAAAAAGATCCCTGGGCTTTTCTCCAAAGATTCGGATTCACGGGATCTGTGGTGAAGCCCAGGCACCTGTGTTTTTAGATTTTCCCCAGGAGTTACTGAAGAACTGGGTCAGGGAACTCCAGTTCCTACACCACTTTTGCTGACCGTAATAAAGAATATTAGTGGAAAACACACAAATTAATACTGTTTTCACTCATCAGGTTGGCAAACAAGCCAAGTTGTTAAACTATCCCCTTCTAAGGATGCTATGGTGAGTAGGGTATTCTCATTCCCTGCTACTGAGAATGTGAGCTGTGGCCAGTTTAAGAAAGTAATCAGACATTATTTTTAACATCTAAAATGTTAAATTGGACTAGCAATCCCAATTTAGGACCCAGATCATAAGGATCAAGGCCAAAAAAATTTCTTGTAGCATTATTTGTAGCGGCAAACTGGGAACAAGCTAATGGTGGAATAAGGAATTAGGATTTAGTCATTCAGTGAGGTATTATGCAGTAATTTTTTAAAAATCAATTAAAAAAAATAAATAAAAAATCAATTAGACCTGAATGTTGGAAAGGGGTCTAATTACTACTAAATCAAAGAGTTGCTGAGTTTTTTGTCATTGTTGTTGTTGTTGTTTTTAAAGACTTTATTTATTTATTTGACAGAGACACAGTGAGAGAGGGAATGCAAGCAGGGAGAGTGGGAGAGGGAGAAGCAGGCTTCCTGCTGAGCAGGGAGCCTGATGTGGGACTCCATCCCAGGACCCCGGGATCATGACCTGAGCCGAAGGCAGACGCTTAACCGACTGAGCCACCCAGGCGCCCCAATTTGCTGAGTTTTATACACACACACACATACACACACACGTCTCTGTGTGTATATATATGCACACACACACACATAATTATATATATATTCCCAATTATAAAAGAAAAATATTAATAAAGCTGGAATATTAGTTATATATGCTTGTGTGAGCAGGAAGAAACATGTGAAAGGACACATCATTTTTTAAAAGATTGATTTATTTGTTTCAGAGAGCACGTGTGTGGATGCGAATTTGAACGGGGGAGGGGCAGAGGGCGAGAATCTCAGGGAGATTCCCCCACTCAGTGCAGATTCCAATGCGGGGCTCAATCCCAAGACCCTGAGATCATGACCTGAGCCGAATCCAAGAGTCGGACGCTTAACCGACTGAGCCACCAAGGTGCCCCATAAAGGTCACATCATTTTAACACTGGATTCTTCATGGTGGGAGAAGAGTGGGAGGATCATTGATTTTTAATTTTTTCTTCATACATTTCTACATTTCACTCATCATAAACAGCATGAAGTTCTTTTGCAATTTAAAAGACCAAATAAAGTTTTCTTTTAAAACATGTTGGTGGACCAAAGAATACTGTATTGTTTTCCAAAATCTCTGCTTTGGAATGATGATCAATACCATTCAGATAAAATTTAATTTATAAAATATTAGTAATATATGTTCAAGATGTAAAAAATGAAACCAAAGAGAACCACGACTGTGAACCTAGATTCAGAAACAGAGCATTATCATCCCCTTTGATGCTTCCTTGAGACCCTCAACACTTCTATCCCTTCCCTTTGCCCTGGTATTTTGCCTTTTTCATACTGGTGATTTTCATTACAGATTCATAGACAGGTATCCTAAACAATATATACCTGGCTGAGTAATAGTCCATTGTGTATATATACCACATTTTGTTTATTCATTCATCTGGATAAAAATAGGTATTTGGGTTCTTTCTTCCTTGGTGAATAGCGCTGCTATGAACATGTATGTACAAGTATTTGCTTGAGTATCTGTTTTCATTTCTCCTAGAGTTACACTTAGGAAGGGGAAGTGCTGGGTCATATGGTAATTCTATGTTTAACTTTTTGAGGAACCACCACATTGGTTTCCATAGCAGCTGCACCATTTTACATTCCTACCAGCAGCAATGTACGATGGTGGCAATTTCTCCACATTCTCACCAGAGCTGTTACTGTCTGTTATGGTGGTGGTTTTTATACAGTAGCCATCCTAATGAGTAGAACGTGACATCTCATTGTGGTTTTGGCCTTTGTCCAGTTTTTGATTGTGTTGTTTTGTCTTTTTGTTGTTAAGTTGTAAGAGTTCTTTACATATTCTGGATGTAAGTCGCTTATCAGATACATGATTTGCAAATATCTTCTCACATTCTGTACACTGGCTTTTCACTTTCCTGATTTCTTGCCACTTTCTTGACAATATTCTTTGATGTACAAGAGTTTTTAATTTTAAGCCCACTGTCTCTGTTTTCTTCTGTTGCTCATACTGTTGGTGTCACAACTAAAATCTATTGCCAAATATAAAGTCATGAAGATTCACTCCTATGTTTTCTCCTAAGAGTTATATACTTTTTGCTTTTATGTATAGGCCTATGATCCATTTTGAGTTAATTTTGTACATGTTATGAGGAACAAGCCCAACTTCATCCTTTTACATGTGGATATCCAGTTCTAGCACCATTTACTGAGAGACTATTCTTTCTTCTATTGAAGGGCATTGGCACCCTTGTCAAAAATCAATTGGACGAAGATGTATGCGCTTATCACTAGACTCTCAATTTTATTCCACTGTTCTGTCAGTCTATCCATATGCCAGTGCTGTGCTGTTTTTGATTACTGTAGCTTTATAACATATTTTTGCAATTAGGAAGGGTGATGCCTCCAGCTTTGTTCTTCTCACTCAAACTTACTTAAGCTATCCAAGGTCTTCTATGGTTCCATATGAAATTTTAGATTTTTTTTTATATTTCTGTAACAAATGCCATCAAGATTTTGATAGAGATTACATTGAATCTGTAGATCACTTAGCATAATAGAAACCTTTTAACAAAGCATAATAGAAACATTAAAACAATATTAATTTTTCCAATCTATGAACAGAGAATGTCTTTCTATTTATCTGTGTCTTCTTTGATTTCCTTCATCTTCATGCTTTATAATTTTCAGTATAGAAATCTTTCATCTTTTTGGTTAAGTTTATTCCCAAGTATTTTATTGTTTTTGTTACTATTGTAAATGTTTCCTTAATTTCCTCTTTGGATAGTTTGTTGATTGTGTATAGAAATGTGATTTAATTTTGTATGCTCATTTTGTATCCTGCAACTTTACTGAACTTATTTTATTAGTTCCAACAATTTTTTTGTTGCATATTTAGGGTTTCTACATGTATGATCATATCACCTACAGGGATAATTTTACTTCCTTCTTTCCAATTTGGACACCTTTTATTTATTTTTCTTCTCTAATTGCTGTGGCCAAGACTTTCTGTATTCTGTTGAATAGAAGTGGTGAGAATGGGCCTCCTTGCCTGGTACTCGATCTTGGAGGGAAAGCTTTCAGTTTGTTCCTATTGATTATGATGTTACCAGTGTGTTTTCACATATGGCCTTTCTGCTGTTGAGATAAGTTTCTTTTATTCCTATTTTGTTGAAAGTTTTAATCATGAATGAATATTGAACTTTGTCAAGGACTTTTCTGTGTCTATTGAGATGACCATGTTTTGTTTTTTTCCCATTTTGTTAATATGGTGTATCACACAGGTTGGTTTATGGATGTTAAACCATTCTTGCAATTTTTAAATTGTTGTTGAATTCAGTTTGCTAATATTTTGATGAGAATTTTTGCATCTATATTCATCAGGGATGTTGTCTTGTAGTTTTTTCTCCTTATTGTATCTTTATTTGGTTTTGTCATTAGGGTGGTACTGGCCTCATAAGAGGAATTTGGAAGTGGTTCCTCTTTTCTGTTGTTGGAAGAGTTTAGGAAGGATTGGAATTAATCCTTCTTGAACATTTGGTAAAATTTACCTGTGAAGTCATCTGGTCCTAGGCTTTTCTTTGCTTTTGATTACTGATTTGCTCTCCTTATTTGTTACTGGTCTGTTTAGGCTTTTTATTTTTTCTTGATGCAGTTTCAGTAGGTTGAATGTTTTTAGAAATTTATTTATTCAAAGTTATCCAGTTCATTGGCATATAATTATTCACGATCGTTTCTAATGACCCTTTTTATTTCAGAGACGTTATTGTAGTGTCTTCTCTTTATTTTCTGAATTTATTTGTTTGAGTCTTGTCTGTTTTCAGTGAGTCTAGGTAGGGGTTTGTTGATTTTGCTTATCTTAGGGGTTTTTTTCCATTATTTCTCTATACTGTATTTGATTTATTTCTGCTCTAATATTTATGATTTCCTCTCTTTTGCTAACTTTGGGCTTAGTTTGTTCTTTGTTCTATTTCCTTGAGGTATAAAGTTAGTTGTTTATTTGAGATCTTTTTTCTTTCTTGGTGTTTATTGACAAAAATTTTCTTCTTTGTACTGCTTTTGCCACAACCCATAAGTATTGGTATATTGTGTTTTCATTTTCACTTATCTCAAGGTACTTTTTAAGTTTCCTTTTGATTTCCTCTTTGACTCAGTAGTTGTTCAAGAGTGTGTTGTTTAGTTTCTACATATTTGTAAATTTTCCCATTTTCTTAACATTTTCAACTGTTATTGATTTCTGGTTTCATTCCATTGTGATTGGAAAAGGTACTTGGAATGATTTAAATTTCAAAAAATTTGTTAAGACTTGTTTTGTAATCAAACATGTGATCTATCCTGGAAAATGTGTTAATGTGTATTCTTCTGTTGGCTGGAAAGTTCTGTATATGTCAAGTAGGTCAATTTGGCATATCATGTTTTTCAAATCAGTTGTTTCCTTATTGATATTCTAAGTGTTCTACCCATTATTATAAATGGGATACTGAAGTGCCTACTATTATTTTATCACTGTCAATTTCTCCCTTCAGATCAGCCAGTGTTTATATATAGGGGTTCTGATGTTGAATGTGTAATATTTATAATTGTTATAACTTCTTGTTGAATGGAACTTTTATCATTATATAGTGACCTTCTTTGTCTCTAGAGACAGTTTTTGACTTAAAGTCTATTTTGCCTTATATAAGTATAGCCACTCCTACTTTTTTTGGGTTACTGTTTTCATGGAATATCTTCTTCCATCCCTCCATTTTCAGTCTGTGTGTGTCTTTCAATCTAAAGTTAGTCTCTTGTAGACAGCATATCACTGGATCTCATTTTTTGAATCTATCCATCCACTCTATGCCTTTTGATCAGAGAATGTCTTAGTTCATCTGGGCTACTCTAACAAAATGCCACAGACTAGGTGACTTATAAACAACAGAAATTTATTTATCACAGTTCTGGAGGCTGTAAGTCAAGATGATGGTCTTGCCAGTGTGATCAGGTGAGGGCCCTCTTCTGGGTCTAAGGCTTCTTGTTGTGTCCTCACATGACAGAAGGGGCAAGGAACCTCTCTCAGGCCTTTTTTTTTTTTTAAGGTTTTATTTATTTATCTGAGACAGAGAGAATGAGAGAGACAGAGAGCACATGAGAGGGGGGAGGGTCAGAGGGAGAAGCAGGCTCCCTGCCGAGCAGGGAGCCCGATGCGGGACTCTATCCAGGGACTCCAGGATCATGACCTGAGCTGAAGGCAGTCGCTTAACCAACTGAGCCACCCAGGCGCCCCCCCCCCTTTTTTTTTTATGAGGACATTAACCTCATCCATGAAGGTGGAGCTCTCATGACCTAGCCCCCCAAATTCATGTCCTTCTTGCATGCAAAATTCATTCACTCCATCTCAATAGTCCTAAACGCCTAACTTGTTCTAGCATCAACTCAAAATTCTAAAGTTCAAAGTCTCATACAAATACATCTAAATCAGATATAGATTAGACTTAAGGTACAATCCATTCTGAGGCAAATTGCTCTCCAGCTGTGAATCTGTGAAATAAAGCAAATCATGTTCTTCCAAAATAAAATGGTAGGACAGACATAGGGTAAACTCCCCATTCTAAAAAGGAGAAATAGGAAAGAAAGAGGCAGCCTAACAAGTCCAAACCCAACAGAGCAAACATCAAATTTTAAGGCTTAAATAACTTTAATTAGATGCTCTGCCTGCCAGGCCCAGTGGGGTGAAGATAGTATCTTCTGGGAATATTGGGTTATCCTTGACCCCAAGGCTTTTCTGGGGAAGTTCATATGGCAGCTTTTATGGGTTGGATTTGCCTACCTGCTGCTTTCCCTGTCTGAAATTACACACTAATGGCTCTGTTGGTCTGGGGTTCTGGGGGCATGATTCTATCAGGCATTTTGCTGGCAGGGGGCTCTCTGCATTGACTTCCTCCTCTCTGTGATCTTCTGATTGATTTGCATGCCCATAGTTCTGGGTGGGTCCGTTCTTTGAAATGGTGGAAGAAGCCACGTCCCATCACTCTGCTGGGCAAGGGTCTGCCCTCTATGGCTTTGGGTGGTCCTGACCCCACAGCTTTGGGTGGTACCACTCTTATAGTTATGAGCATGGGTTGTCTGATCTGCTGAAATTCAAGAAATAGATTTCCACATTTTAATACCAAGGAGGCAGACTTAATGATCTCTGAATCATTTCAGGGGGTCTTCTTCTCTTGACTTGGAGAACATTGTGTATTCACAGCTCAATAGCTCTACGGTCCTATCCTATAAAATCTAAGAAATCTCACAACTTTTCTTTTCTTTTTTTTTTTAAAGATTTTATTTATTTATTTGAGAGAGAGAATGAGAGGGGGGAGGGTCAGAGAGAGAGGCAGACTCCCTGCTGAGCAGGGAGCCCGACGTGGGACTCGATCCCGGGACTCCAGGATCATGACCTAAGCCGAAGGCAGTTGCTTAACCAACTGAGCCACCCAGGCACCCTCTCACAACTTTTCTTCATTCCTTCTTATGTCTTTCCCCTTCCGTCAAATTGGCTGTTTTCTTTCTGAGGTGACTGTAGTTTCTATTCACATGTTCACTCTTTGCCTTTGGATTGGGTAGTTTAATCTAGTATATTTAAAAGATGCCATTTGTTTGTTTTCTGTATGTCTTACAGCATTTGGTTCCTCACTTCCTCCATTACTGCCTTCCTTTGTATTTAGTTAAATTTTTACAGAGGCACGTTTTGATTCCCTTCTCATCTTGTTTTGTGTACATTCTATAGATAGTTTCTTTGTGGTTACCATGGGGATTACACTTAATATCCTAAAATTATAACAATCTTATTTGATTTGATACCAACTTAACTTCAACTGCATACAAAAATTATTCCTTTACAGCTTTATGTTATTGATGTCACAAATTACATCTTTATATATTTTGTACCCATTAACATAGATTTATGATTATCTTATGCATTTGACTTTAAATACTATAGAAAATAAAAATGAATTTTACAAACTAAAATTACAACAGTAATGATTTTGATATTTTATCATGTATTTTCCTTTACTAGAGATATTTATATATTCATACAGCTTCAAATTATTGTATAGTGTCCTTTTATTTCAACCTGAAGCATTCCCTTTAGCACTTCTGGGAGGGCAGATATAGTGCTAATGAGTTTGCTCAGCTTTTGTTTATCTAGGAATATCTTAATTTCTCCCTCATTTTTTGAAGAATAGTTTTACTGGATATAGAATTCTCAGTTGACATTGTTTTGCTTTCAGCATTTTAATACAACATCCCACCATCTTCTGGCCCCTACTGTTTCTGCTGGGAAATTGACTTGTTATCTTATTGAGAATCTTCTGTGTGATAAGTCATTTTTCTCTTACTGCTTTCAAGATTCTCTCTTTGTCTCTGACAGCTCGATTATAATGTGTCTTGGTATGGACCTCTTTACTTTATCTGATTGGAGTTCATTGAGCTTCTAGGATTTGTAGATTCACATCTTTCCTCAAATTTGGGAAGTTTATGGCCATTATTTCTTCATGTAATCTCTTTACCCCTTGTCTTAGTCTGTTTGGGCTGCCATAACAAGATACCATAGCTTATAAACAACAGAAATTCATTTCTCACAGTTCTGGGGGCTGGGAAGTCCAAGATTAAGGTGCCAGTAGATTTCATGTCTGGTGAGAGCCCCCTGCCTGGTTCATAGACAGAACCTTGTTAAACCAACCCTTACCTTTCTGGTCACTTCTCCACCCAAATTAATAATAATAATAATGAGATCTTGCATATTTTCCTCTTGTTAATCTATCTTATGTCAGTTTAATGCTTAAGCTGAACACCCTAAGAGGGTCAAAGAGAAAATTTTCCTCCCCTACACTATCAAAATATCTAAAAGATTGTGTGTATGTGTGCATGTATGTGTGTGTCTATACATACAAATTCCAAGCAGTTCCTAAATTCACAGGGAAAAGTAAGGGCTAAGACTAGACTATTATTTTGAAATAGAGGGCTAAAGAAGGTGAATATACATACTGGATATCTAGATTTGCAGTAAAGCAAAGTAACCATTAAAGCCAGATGATACGATTGACGGGTGAATGAATAAACAAATATATACAATGGAATATTATTCAGCTTTAAAAAAGAATAAAATTCTGACACATACTTCAACATGGATGAATCTTTTTTTTTTTTTAAAGATTTTATTTATTTATTTGAGACAGAGAGAATGAGATACAGAGAGCATGAGAGGGAGGAGGGTCAGAGGGAGAAGCAGACTCCCTGCCGAGCAGGGAGCCCGATGCAGGACTCGATCCCGGGACTCCAGGATCATGACCTGAGCCGAAGGCAGTCGCTTAACCAACTGAGCCACCCAGGCGCCCAACATGGATGAATCTTGAAGACATTATGCTAAGTGAAATAAGCCAGACACAAAGGACGAGTATTGTATAATTCTATTCACATGAGGTACCTAAAATAGTCAAAATCATAGAGAAAGAAAGAAGTACGGTGGTTACTAGGGGCTGAGGGGAGGGAGAATGTTTAATGGGTACAAAGTTTTAGTTTGGGATGATGAAAATATTCTGGAGATGTGTAGTGTTGATGGTTGTGCAACCATGTGAATGTACTTAATATCACTGAATTGTACAGTCAAGAATGGTTAAAATGATAAATTTTATGTATATTTTACCGCAATTTAAAAAACCCAAATGCCATAAAGATGGACAACTAGAACAATAGGGGGAAAAAAGTGAGGACAGAAAGAGACCCATGAGAGCTTGGTATATGATAGAAGAAACATTAAAATCAGTAGGGAAGAAAACGGACTCTCCAATGAACAGTGTTGGACAACTGGCTACTACTGTGGTAAAAGATAAAATTACATCCCTATCTCACATCACACATAAGTTAGAGTTGAGTGTTGCTATCAAACTATGAAAGGCCAAACTTTAAAACTTTTAGAAAAAAAAAATATGGCAATGTCTGCCTAGTATCAGTAGAAATTTCTTGGACATGGTATGAAAATCTGTATTAGTTTTCTAGGGCTGTTGGACCAAGGTGCCACAAACTGAGTGGCTTTCAACAATAGAAATTTATTCTCTCACAGCTCTGGGGGCCAGGAGTTCAAAATTAAGGTGTCTGCAGAGTTCTGAGACTCTGGGTCTCAGATCCTTCCTCTGAGACTGGGTAGAATCTTTCTTTGTCTCTCCCTAGCTTCTGGTGACAGCCATCATTCTAATCTCTGCCTCTGTTGTAACATGGAGTTCTCTCTGCGTGCCTGTTTCTAAATAATTTCCTTCTTTTAATAAGAATACCAGTCTTGGGGTACATGGGTGGCTCAGTCAGTTGAACGTCCACTCTTGATTTCGGCTCAGGTCATGATCTCAGGGTCATGAGATGGAGCCCTGCATCAGGCTCTGCGCTTAGCACAGAGTCTGCTTGTCTCTCTCCCTCTGCTCTTCCTCCCACTCTCTCTCTAAAATAAATAAATAAAATCTTAAGAAAAAAGAATACCAGTCTTATTGTTATAAAAATCCACACTACTCCACTATGACCTCATCTTAACTAATTATATCTGCAACAACCCTGTTTCCAAATAAGCTCACATTCTGAGGTAGTGGGAAGTGGGACTTCAACATACCCTTTTCGGGGGACACAATTCAACCCATAACAAAAGCATTAACTATAAAGGAAAAGACTGATATATTTTAACACATTAAATAAAAAGTGAGCAATTTATTTCCTTTCTTCTGTAAGATATGTCAGATAAAAGATATCATGAAAAAGAGATTAGAAGAAGATTTGAATAATCTTGGTACCATAAAACAAATGCAAGTATTAAACAAAAACTACACATTTTAACATGTCATTTTTATTGAAAAAGTAACATATCTTACATATTTAGTATAAAAATATAGAGTAAAAATTAATTTTCTCTTTCATTTCAAGGTTTTATTTAACACACATTGTAGTCTTTTTCTTTGAGTTTTAAATCCTTGTTTAAAAGGTCTTTGGAGCTCCTGGCTGACTCAGTCAGTAGGGTGTACGGCTCTTGATCTTGGGGTTGTAAGTTGGCGTCCCACGTTGGATGTAGAGATTACTTAAAAATTAAATCTTTAAAGAAATAAGAAAATAAAAGGTTTTCTTCACTTTGAGATTACTTTTGAAATTCCTCAACATTTTTTTTTCAGTATAAGGGATAAGGCAGTGGCTGGTTTTAAATTTTTTTCCCCATAGGATTAGGTATTCATTCACTCCATCATTCGTTTATTCACAAATATATTTTGTGTGGGTACTATGTTAAGGTACTGTCCCAGGTCCTGAGGTTACAAATGCGAGCAGGACTACATGTTCCCTGCGATCACAGTGCTTACATTCTGGTGAGAGGAAGCAGGCTTTAAAAAACAGAATAACAAATGAAGTCAATTTGTCAGTATGTAAAAACTTAACTAGTGTTATAGAAAATAGAGTAAGAAGGGCCAGAAGTGCCAGGTATCTGGAGCATGTCATAAATTTAAATTTAAATGAGCCTCTTTTGAAATAACTTATTTGATCAGATACGTTTAAATGAACGTTTGAGCATACAAGCCCAAAGTATGAATTATACTGTGTTTAGGACAACAGTTAGAAAAGATTGGACAAATACTCCAACTAATTTTTTTTCTCCAACTGGTTAGATTAAATGGTGAAATAGAATGTTTTGTGTCACAATTTTGGCAGATAAAAGCAATTGCTCTTCTTCTGACAGAGGCAAGTAACTGAAACAACCTTAAGCATTTTTATACTAGACAATGACATTTGGCAGTGGAGGATGGGGTAGAAGGGTAGGGGGTGGGGATCAGATCTTTCCTAGGTTCTTTTCTGCTAATTTACCTGTGTTTGGCATTTCCACTTTCCTATTCTCCTGCTCCCATGAGACCAAATTGCCTTGTTCTGATTAGCTGTTCACTCATTATGGAGTCCTTTATCAAAAATATTATCAGTGCTTTTGACCAGCCTGACTTTTGGGAGTGAAAATCACAAGTCATTCAGAAATAATTCTTTGTTCACTGAGCATAAATTTAGTTAGTTTTTTTTTTTAACAAAATGATATTATTTTGAGTAGAATGTTCTTATTTCCATCAAATCCAGGTGTATGAGATAACTCCTGTGAGGTCATGCACAACACAAACACCCTTTGCACATTGCATATATTGACAGAGGCTACCTCCCAAGATCATGACCTTTTTGTGGTTCTCCTTTCAACTTTGGCAATGTTGTCCCTAATGGTAACCTGGAAGTGACCAAGGTGATATAATACTTATGAGATGGATCATTGGGTGCCTGGGTGGTTCAGTCAGTTAAGTGTCTGACTCTTGATCTCAGCTCAGGTCTTGATCTCAGGGTTGTGAGTTCAAGCCCGCTGTTGGGCTCTACATTGGCTGTGGAGCCTACATAAAAAATAGATGGATCATTAATCTTTCTTTTGGAATCTTCACAAGAGTAGATAATAAAGACAGCTGTTTATTGCTACAGAAGTGTTTGGAAACAGAATCTTTTAGATTTCTGCTAGCAAACTGATATCTGCTAGATCCCTGAAAGTTCTTTCGGCAATTTCACTTTCTTAGAATGACTTGGTCATTTTCAGAGATATTAGAGAAGCACGTGTTGCTTTTTTGGTCTTTTGGTTGAAGTGGCTTTGCTCCGACTTCCTTGCTTTGCTGTGAATGGTCACTTTGAGAATAATGTTTTTCTTTGCAGATTATTTAGCCAATTAAAAAGGCTCCAAAAAAACTGGCTTCTTGGTCCATGTCAATCAATTGCTCATTATTTACAGAGACAAAAATTCTATCATTTTCCTTAAGTTCAAATATCCCACCTTGATAGATGGAATAGAGTCCATATTCAGAATCTTTAGACCAACAACTATTTCTAGCACTTTTCATCAGCAGTATAGGGTCAGGATAACTTGTGTATTTGTAAATATATTGTACCATTTGTTTGTTTTTCTTTCTGTTCTGTTCTGTTGAAATTGTTCCCGAAGTTTCCTCAGGTTCCTGAAATCGAAAGTATGTTTGGGAATAGATGTAATAAAACCCCCTGTGAAGGATAATAAGCTCTCCATTCCTCAAGTGCAAATTATTCAAGAATGAATGTCCTTTTCTTGATGACTCCCAGGAGTTTATTTTCTGGCCCAAAGCTTTTTCATTCTTGGAGCCTGGATGAAGTTTAGGGAGAAAGAAAATTAAAAGAAAGAAGTTTGTAGCAAAGGTAAGAATTATCTCAGTAGCTGTGGCTAGCCAGTTTTTTGGTGGGGATTTTAAAGAATTTCAATCTAGTATAAAACTTCTTGCTCCTTCAATCTTACAAGGATTCTAAATTTCAGTCTTATAGGAATCTGGAGGCTACTGTATCATTGTGATCTGCTGGAAGTCCCTTACTTTTCTGTACCTCATCCACCACTTAGGCCACAGGTCTAAACTATAGCATGAGGGATGATTAACTCAGATGGCAATCTTTACTCCTGGACAGAACTTCTGTCCCAAACCCCTGCCTCCCTTCCTATGCTGGTGAGTGCAAATGAGTAACAGATAAGGAAACTAAAAGAAACATTATCAATTTTTCAAGCCTGGAGCTCAGAACTTATTGCTATTTCTTTGGGTTTCTTTGGGTTCCTTCTTGGTCTTTCTCAGCAATCCAGAGTCAAAGGCACCATTCAAGCAGAAAACAATAAGACAGGGCACATGGTTTGGCAAAGAGAGCTCAGATTTAAAGATATTCAGACCCCTGGGTCTTTAGCTCCCAAAGACTTTGAGTGAAAAAGGGCCCTACCAAAACATGATATTCCTTTAACTTTGGGCTCATCTCCAGGATTGGTGCAAAATTTAGTTTTTCAACAGTGTAAAACAACTATCGTGTTTCTTGGTGAATAGTAAACAGTAACATTATAATAATGATCTCACTCATAGGCAGAACATGTCAATCATTCATAAAGCATGAGTGGAGGAATACCAGGAAGGCAACTGCCCCGAAAAAAAAAAATCCCACAATCTTTTCATATTTTAACTGATACCTGAAATTTCTTTAACTTGGGATAAAACCTCTCATCATAATAAAAGCAACTATTTATTGAGTACTTACAATACACAGGAATTTTGCCTGCGCTAATCTTCAGTATTTTATGACTTAAAGATTATCTTTACTTTGTATCTGAAGAAACTAAAGCTTGATTTGATTAGGTAATTTGCTCAAGACATATATCTAGGTAAGGAGGAGCTGGTATTCCAACATGGATATTTCGACCGTAAGACTCTTGCACTATTACAGCACTGCGTGGACACCTGTTCTTTAGGTAGAAATAGGCTTACTTTAATTGGTTAAATTATATGAAACTGACATATCTGTGGCAACTTCCCATAATTCAACCAAATACAAATGCCACAAGGAATACCTAGTGACTCATGGTGAAAGTAAATAATTGATTCAGAACCTTTAGAGAGGAGGAAGATTTGATGGGAGTGAGAAAGAGAAATTACTTTGAAGAAGAGGAAGAAAAGCATAAATAGGGGCATGGGAAACTCAAAGACAAAGTTCTCCCACCACATAACTTTCCTGAGAGCAGTTATTGAACTATTTGTCTTGTAATCTTGCTTCTGAAAAGAGTCAATCTGAGCCCAGATTCCTACGAACATTTTGTAGACAGCCATATCGGCATTTCATGTACAAGTTAAAAGAATAAATTATTTGGGAAAAATTTTTCCATTGTCTTCCTTTAAGCCATTTATTTGTTGTTTCTCTTACTTGGAACTGGAAACATGCTTCTTCTCCAACTGCTTCCAGTTATGTGAGCTGCTACTCTCTGAAGACGTCTTTCACTTACTACGTAAGGAATATTTAGCTGCTTTTCTAAAAGAAAAATGACAAAAAAATCTTCAGCACTTGTCAAACCATTTTCAAATACATTGTTATTCAGAGCTTATCAGTCAGACATTGTAAGTACACTGGGCTTCCAAAGTGGATTGTAAAACAGCCTACATTTTAATATGATGATCCATCTATTCCAGCTTATGTTTAATTTCGAAAGTATTTTAGATGAGAAGAATAAGCAGTAACTTGGGTCAGAATTTATCGGCATTTCAAAGGTAAGGTCCAACCAGAATATAACAAAATGAAGATTCTGGCCTTTTCCAAAGCAAACAAACAAATAAGTAAATAACTGTGGACATGTAATAATTCTACTGAGTCATTTAAAGTGCACAACTAACCAAGCACTGGTGAATTTCCACGAGTTATATATAGAAACAATCAGAGCGATCCTAATTCTAAAGGAGTAACAGCGATAACCAGGGTCTATAGACGCTACAAACTGGTTCCCAATAGTTCATCCCCCGCCCCCCTAAAAGAAATATGAATTGGCATACTGGTCATGATAATCAGTATATAAACATAAGAATCATGAATTCATAGACCATAATAAACAAAAAACACTTATGGATCACATTCTGCAGGACTTTGGGAGCAGCCTTTTAATATACAAATTCAACAAACTACCCTTTAAAAAAAATCAGCTCAAATTCCCCCAGTGTGCTTACACTGGTTGTTAAGATAAATGATATTCTTTCATCAAGCAAATATTGCCAGGAATGAGGCACGGCACTATGGCGGACAGGGTTGCAAAGAATAATCACCGATTACACTGACTGAGCCCTCAAAGGACTTACAGTCTTTTAGGAAAGATATGAACTAGACAGTGAAAATTTATCTGTGAGAAATATAAATAAAGGGGGATGTGTGTTCAGAAGAGGGAAAGATTCCTATTTATTGGAGGACTGAGGTCAGGGGAGGGTTTGTGCTAAGGCTTACTCCAACACACCAAAGTGCCCATCACGTCTATGCCAGGCACTCTTTTAGGAGCAAGGAGAAAGAATTAGAGACAGATGAATGCAAGCAAATATTTGGGGTGCAAGGATAATGATCTGAACAGGATGAGGAGGGGCAGACTTGGGAAGGAAGGAACGGAAGAAGGGCATTCTAAGAGATCCAGGACAGGGGCTGGAGGCAGGATGCACAAAGCATTCCTGGGCCACAGCATGGGAGGAGTTCAGTTTCAGGCTTGAATGAGGAGCCGAATGATAGAGGATTTGAATGTGAAGCTAAGAGATGTGGATTGTAAGGACACGGAAAGACTCTGAAAGATTTTGGTAGGAGAAGTGAAGAGATAATGTGTTGTGCTTTAGGCTATCCTATCTCAAAGTAAGGTTTGATGGGTAGAAGGTGGGAGGGCTGGGGACTGGCAAGTTACCAGACTATAACTGATCAGGACTGAGAACAGGAGGCCTTCATCGAGGCTAGTAGGAGGTGGAAATGAAAGGAAGTGAGACAATTTCATAGGAAAGGAATGAATAGGAAATAATCTCTTCCATCTATCTGGTACAAGTTGTTACGTATTCAGGATGGGTGGGCATCTGTACAGTCCTGAAGACCAAACATATCATGGGGATGCATGATCAATTACATAATACTCTCAGAATGCTCAGCTTTCAAGGTTGATGTGTCCTTTCACCTTTAACTTTCACTGTTAAATAATTCATAATGCCTTGCCTGCCCTTAGACCTTAACACTTTGTTTTAGAATATTCAATAACCGAATTCAATTATAAATATCTTACATTTGAGGTCATTGCAATTTGGGAAAGCCTAAATATAAAAGCAAATTCTAAAGAGGAGATTTCAATAAATAAGTAAACAAACAAACAAACAAAGAGGAGATTTCCTACTGGCTACAGCAAACACTTCGTGGAAAAGGAACCCATGAACATGTCTATTTGGGTGTCATGAATAAATCTTGGTATACTGATGAGCACATGATTTCTACATCTTATTGTGATGAATAGAGAAGAGTAGTCTTCTTACAACACTGAAAATAGTACATGCATCTACTGTAGACCATGGATCTGTTGTGCCTCATCAGAAGAAGGGGAGTGTTCACCGGTCTGTCTACCCCTTTCACTTTGGGGAAAATAATCAGAAAGAATGTGTAGACCTTGAGAACAGGTCTTATCCTTCATGTTTAATAAAGCTTATTTAATAAAGAAAAATGGGAGTTGTTAAGCAATGAGGAAGCTTGTTGTTTTGAAAAAAGAGAGTTGGAAAAGTAAAAAGACATCATCACAACACTTACATTAAAGAACTGTTTCTTCTCTGCCAGGCTGGTGGTGCCCTAGGTTGGCAGTCTCTGGTATATGTATTCAGGCCTCTGTGGCCACTAATATGGGAAGATGGGGCTATGGTGAGCCAAACGTGAAAAAGTAGCAAATTTTATTCCATAGTTTTATTGACTTGTGTATTCATTAAAAAATATGTATTGAGAACCTTCTATGTGGAGGGATGGTGGTAGCACAATATTATGAATGCACGATGTGCCACTAAATCGGGCACTTCAAAACGGTTCATCGTAACATTTTCAAAGGTGGTGGAGTGGGAGGATCCTGAGCTCACATTCTCCCACGGACACACCAAGGCTACGACTGCATATAGAACAGTTCTCTCTGAACAGGACCTGAAGACTAGCAGAACAGATCTTCCACAGCTAAAGTTATAAAGAAAAATCACAAGGAGAAGAGTTGAAAGGGAGCAGAGACAAGGTCTGGTCAGGACCCACCCGCAAGGTGATGTGATCTACAAGAGGAGGGGGGATACATAGGTGTGGAGCTCCCCCTGGGGAGCAAGGGAGTCAAGACCCACATGGGGCACTGCCCCCCTGTCTGAGGACCTGCACTGGGACGACAAGCTCTCACAATGTCCGGCTTTGAAAATCAGTGCGGCTCACCTCCAGGAAAGCCAGAGGGCTACAGGAAACCAAGAATCTGCTTTTAAATGGCTTGCACACAAACTCACTCACTCCAAGACCCAGCACAGAGGCAGCGGGTTCACAAGTGCCTGGACCATATGTGAAGGAGATTTATTGACTAATTTCAGGGCATGTGATAGAAAGGCAGGGATCTATAGGCACTTGCTTTGGGAACAGAGAGCTGGAGGCCTTTCCTCTTACCCTCCTTCTGCCTAGCTGGCCTGATGCACTGACCCGTGCCAGTTCTCACTCTCTCCGTCTACCTTGCTCGCACCGCTCGCCTCGCCCTGGCATTGCCCTGTGGACCTGCCCCACCCAATCTGCCCATCCTGGTAGAAGGTCCTCTACAACAGCCCGGCTGAGATCGGTGTCCTCTCAAAGCTGCTCCTGCCCTGCCGTGGATAGATGCTCAGCATCCCTGATCATCAGGGAAATGCAAACCACAACCACGGTGAGACATCACCTCACACCTGTCAGAATGGCTAATAACAAGAAGACAAGCAACAACAAGTGCTGGCAAGGGTGTGGAGAAAAGGGAACCCTACTGCACTGCTGGTAGGAATATAATTTGGTGCACCTGCTCTGGAAAATAGTATGGAAATTCCTCAAAAAATTAAAAATAGGAAAACCATACAATCCAGCAATTCCACTTCTGGATATCTATCGCAAGAAAATGCAAATGAAATCACTATCTTGAAAAGATGTGTGCATCCTTATGTTCATTGCAGCATTATTTACAATAGCCAAGATATGGGAGCAGCCCAAGTGTCCACTGATAGATGAACGGATAAAGAAGCTGTGGTATATATACACAATGGAATATTACTCAGCTATAAAAGACAATGAAATCTAGCCATTTGAGACACCATGGATGGACCTGGAGGGTATTATGCTAAGTGGAATAAGTCAGACAGATAAAAACATATAATGTAAGATTTCACTTATGGGTGGAACCTAAAAACAAACAAAACAAGACAAACAGACACATAAAAACAGAGAACAAACTGATGGTTGCCCGAAAGGGAGTGGGTTGGGGAGATGGGTGAAATAGGTGAAGGGGATTAAGAGGTACAAACTTCCAGTTATAAAACAAATAAGTCACGGTGATATAAAATACATTACAAGGAAGATAGTCAATAATATTGGAATAACTCTGTATGGTGACAGATAGTAACTATACTTATTGTAGTGAGTATTTTGTAATGTATGTAAATGTCAAATCACTATGATGTACCCCTAAAACTAATATATTGTTGTATGTCAACTCTACTTCAATGAAAAAATAAAATAAAATGAGAATGATACCTCAAAAAAAAGTTACTTATATGTTATGTGAATTTCATCTCAATCAAAATACAAACACACACACACACACATGCTCATGAAAGGTATTACACCTCAGGGCCAGGGGGATAAAAGAATCTACTAGGTTTGGAGCATCAGGTTAGGGGCTAGGTATAGACAGATGAGAGAAACAGACATGTGTTCTATCTTTGTGGATCCTTAATCTAGTAGGGAATCAGATAGCACACAAATAAAAAATATATATACAAATAAAAGGAAATGCACAAGATAAGTGCTATAGACATAGCAGGGTGGGGGCGCCTCGGTGGCTCAGTCGTTAGGCGTCTGCCTTTGGCTCAGGTCATGATCCCAGGGTCCTGGGATCGAGCCCCGCGTCGGGCTCCCTGCTCTGCGGGAAGCCTGCTTCTCCCTCTCCTGCTTCTCCCTCTCCCACTCCCCCTGCTTGTGTTCCCTCTCTCACTGTGTCTCTCTCTGTCAAATAAATAAATAAAAATCTTTAAAAAAAAAAAAAGAAATAGCAGGGTGTGGGAGGAACTTACTTAGAAAGGTAGGCAGGGAATTTTTCTCTGAAGAGGTAACAGTGAGGTGATAGGATGAGAATGAGAAGGAGTCAGTTATATGAGAAGCCAGGAACGGAAGAAACCAGCCTGGGCAACAGCCCTCAAAGGGAATGTGGGTTGAAACAGGCTGCTGACCATGAACAGGAAAGTGGTCATGGCTGAGGGACCACAAGATGAGAAGTGTGGTGGGTAAAGGATTGCTGAGAAAGATGACGAAGCAAAGGGCTCTTGCATAAAGAAAGGCATAGAGCCTCGTGGTGGTCAGAAGCAGAGAAGACGGGTTACGTTGGGGCCCTCATTTATCTTACCTCCAGTCATATTCCAGAAAGGATTCAGATGACTTATGTACAACACATTTGAAAGTAAAAAGTAAATAACTGAAGAAATCAAGGTGAAGGGGAAATCCATGGTGGAAAAACAAGATTCAAATGAAATAAAGTTTTGACCACAGGTCGGGTCCCAGAATTGGCTCTAAGCTTTCTAACTGCCAAACGCAAATAGGAAAATAGAATCAAGTGGCTTGAGAAACTGACTCGCAGTCCGAGGGGGGACGTGTGGATGGGAGCAGAGAAAAAGGGCTGGAGAGCTATTCCCCCTGTCATGATGTCGACAGTAGAAAATTAAAATAACAAACAAACAAAAAATACTACCTGGAACTGTAGGAATGGTTTCCTCATAGGTTTTCAGAATCATCTGCAAACAGTATTGAATAAATCTTGTTAATTTCCCTCAAAATTTCAACTGACTACAGAATGTCTACGACCCTTCTTGCTGATGTCTAAGATGTCATTTCTATGTCAGATAGGAACCTCTGAAGCTTTAGCTGTTCAAGCGCAGCGTTTGCACGGGGTTGGGTGGGAGCTGGGGGAATACTGAGGCAGAGGCTGCTGTGGAAAGCTCTGTTTCTGTGGAAAGTTCTGTTTCAAAGGCCACACCTGGAGCAGCCCAGGAGGAAGGTGCCATCTGGCAAGTTAGATGAAGCTAATGTTCCCCAAACCTCCTTGGGGCTACTGGATGTGGTGCCCAGGCCTCCTCAGTTTCTCCGTGTGGGGTGTGGGTCTGCAGGCAAGTGTGTGTGTAAATGCACTGTGTAATAGTGTTTTCAGGGGCTTCGAATGGCTGGGCAGACCCAAGCCTCAAGGGGTAAGGCATGCTTCGCTCTCTCTCATGAGACCCACAGACACACAGAGCCCATCAAGGCAGGACCTGGCCACACTGTGTCATTCTCTCACTTCTGACACATGGCCAGGGCATCCTTCACATAAACATGTTTTACCAAGTGCCAATACCTTTACTAAACAACTAGTATCACCTTCTTTGTACTAACCCGTTGGGAAAACCAGTAAGAAAGAGGGAAACCTTAGTCTTTCTATTGGATAAGCTAGTAGTGCTGAGCGCATCCGTGGCTTCTAAAGTCCCCTCCACTTAGTTCTATCACCTGGGCTTTCGTCCATCACTGCCCTCCTTTTCCGCCACTGTCGTTCCTTTTGAAACTGCCAGAAACTCCCCTCCTCTGTACTCCCACCCCAAACCAGAAGCTCTCTGCTTTCCCCTTGGTCCCAAACGCTGATCCGATAAGGGCAGGTCGGACCTTAGCCCAATGGGCATGGGGTGGTGGCCTCAGCATAGTCTCTCTGTCTCTCTCATTCTGGGATAGAAGTTAGGAAGGAAGGAAGGAAGGAGCAGGAGAGAGAGAGGGGTAATTCCTATAGTGTGGGAGGCAGAATAAAAAATGATGACAGTCGGGTCAGATGGACCAGATTCAAATGTGTCAATCACTAGCTCTTGGAGACTTTGTTCAAGTTACTTAACTGATGTGAACTTTAATTTCTTCATCTATTTAAAAAAAAAAAAAGGAGGAAGAAGGGGCCTAGTTGGTTGAGCATCTAACTCTTGATTTCAGGGTCAGGGTCAGGGTCATGGGATCCAGCCCCAAGTCGGGCTCCACACTCAGTGGGGAGTCTGCTGGAGATTCTACCCTCGTCCCCCTTAGGTTCTCTCTCTCTAAAATAAATAAATAAATCTTAAAAAAAAAAAGAAAGAGGAAGATAATAATTTTGATTCCTTCCTCATAGAGCTGTTCTGAGGATTAAATGAGATACCATATGGAATAGGGATAAGATGTTTACTGGAAAATAATCTGTTCCATTAATGGTGCCTGAAAAAAATGGGAAATCCTTCCCCGCTACCCTGCCACCACCTGTCTGTGTCCTCTCCCAGCCTCTCCCTATTCTAGTGAGTGGCAACGTGTGCGAATGGGAGGGAGCAAGAGAACAACAAGAGAGAAGTATGTGGAGTCTATCCCCACTACTTCTCTAACCCCCCACTCCCAGCCCCAGCATCCAGCCCCCTTCTTAGGCTCCAGATTTATGCCCTAGTTCTGAGTCCCTCTCCCCTGCCACCTGTGGGTTGCCCCCACCAACCCAGGGACTGCCGAGTCCCATTCCTCAGTCTCCTCAGGAGGCCCCCCTCCCCCACCCCAGGCTTCCTGGTCCTCACCACCTGGGGCAATAGAGTCACAGCTGCTTTGGTATAGCTTGTGTACAGTGGGCACCCTGCCCTGGCCTCCAGATGAGGTCGGATTTCATTTCTCATAGAAATGGCATCCTAGAGGACATCTGGGCTCTACTGTGAAGACTGCTTGGGTTATCAACTGGAGCCCTAACCACAAGCATAACATTGTTTCTATGCAAAGACAGACTGAGCACCAAACAATGGACTTGCAATCATATCTTTAAAACACACCTCCTTCCTGCCCTGGGAATGTCCCCAGTATTTTTTTTTTTTTTTAAATAAGGATGTTCTTTCACGGTTTACAGAGTATTTTCATACCCATGTTCTCATCTGACCTTTCCGGACAGGCAGAAGGTAAAACTATGAAAGTAAAATTACGTGATTTAGTGAAACAGTTTGCTGACATAGTGTTTCTGCTAGAAATCCTGTTTAAGCAACTTCCATAAACAGATATTTTGTAATTGGTTATTTATTAACTATAAATTGAGATGTCATCACCTTCAATTTCTCAAAGTATCTCTTTCTTCCCTCTTCTTTTCCTCTTTCTTCATCTCTACATGCATACAAAAATAAATATATGTTTAATTCCAGAGATCAACAAGGCTGGAAGAGTATAAAACACCAGTATTTGGCTTCTTCTGTCTTCTGAGCAACAATACCAAAATCACACACATCTTTTATTGTCGTGTGACCTGGAACACATTGCCCTGTCTGTGCCTCAATTTCCACAATGGGAGATAAAAAAGGTTAGACTCAATGGGGAGGCTCTCTGGAGTAGAGGAGTGAACTCTAGACCAGGAGTCAGCCAGGACCCACTGTTTGGTGCTGTTCCACTTTCTCCTAGTTCTATGAATTCAGGGAAAATCACTTAAACATTCTGGGCCTCAGTTTCCTCCTTTGCAAAATGAGCCATTTCCACTTGATGATCTTAAGTGTTCCCTCTCCTGCGACCTTCCACGCCTGCTGGTGGCGTGACCCCGTGGTCCACCTACCTTTCTAACAACCTGACGGAGTTGCCACTTCACTTGCCAGCAAGGGTTGTTCATACTCTCCTCATCATCGGGGTCCCAAGGGATATCATCTTCCTTTAAGAAACAAGCGATGCCACTTTGGGAGTACTTGTCCTGCATCTGGGTTAAGATGGAATAGAACACAATATTACACACAAGAGCTTTTTATTTTTGTTCATTTACGAGTTAAAGCAAGAGGAACTGATGGATGACAGATTCAGAGACATCTTGGCACCTTAGATAAGCTCATGGCTTGAAATAAAAGCAATGCTGTCCTTTGTCTAGTGAATACAAGGAAGCAGCTGGATATTGTGGAAAGGTTACAGGTGTGGGCCAGACATCCTGGGTCACAATGCCCTTCACTGCCCCGGTGTGTCTCTCAACAAATTGCTTTTTCTCGTCTGTGTCTGTTTTTTATTTGATTTTTGAACTGGTTCAATGTGGTGATCTTTGAGGTCCTTTCCAGCTCTGGGATGGTGAGGATCCCATTCTAAAGATGGGAAACCACCTAGGTACAAAGTAGGCAATAGAAGGGCGCCTGGGTGGCTCAGTCTGTTAAGTGTCCGACTTTTGATTTCAGCTCAGCTCATGATCTCAGGGTCATGAGATCAAGTCCTGAATTGGGCTCTGGGCTCAGCGTGGAGCCTGCTTAAGATTCTCTCTCCCTCTCCCTCTGCCCCTCCCTGCTCAAGCATTCTCTCTCTCAAAAATAAATAAATAAATAAAAAGGTAGGCAATAGAGTCCATTTAAATTCCAGAATCCTAAATAAAAATTAAACAAGTCCTTTGTGGCCTTTGGGGTGCAGGTAATGTTCTGTTTCTTGATCTGAGCTTTTGGTGTTGGGTAAATTCTAGTTACTGTTGTGATTTCTACTCCTCTGGATGGCAGAATCTTAAACATATTGCCACTGGAAATTTTAACGTTGTTTTATTAAATGTCCACACTAGCCAGAGATTTACCTCCAGACACTTGGAACACCATTTGAAGGTTTGTCCCCTCCTTCTGATTGAGAGCAAACATTTATAATGACCAGGTAATTGTCAACAAAGTCCTAGCTTCATATTAAACACACACACACACGTATACACACACACACACACATGCACTCACAAACACAAATGCATGCATGCATACATCCCAAACCATCCAGCACATTCCAGGCTGATAACTGGTTAATTTTACAAAGAAAAACGGGAAGTCCATTCAAGGTCGGACATTAGGTTTTTTTCTTTTTTCCGGTTTTTGTTTTTAACAACTGGGATTGAGGAGATATTATTTCCCTGTACAAATCTGAATCGCCCTTCTCTGGAGAAATAAATGGGGAAATGGCCATTTTTACCTGTTGTTTGAACTCAGGGGACTCCAAAGCTTGAAGGAAAGATCAAACTTAATGATGCTCCTTCCTATAAAAAGACAACCTCATTCCAAATCAAAATAACTTGTTTATGAGAGGTCCCAGCCAGAGTCACATTGTTCTGTGCCCAGCCATGTACCCCTCGGACATTTGATCAACCTCCCTCAAGGGCAAAAGTACAAACCTGAGTTGATGAATTCCTTCCACGTACTCTGGCATAGAACATTCATTTACTTTTTTTTAAATTTATTTTTAATAATAAGTATTATTTCTTTCTTTCTTTTTTTTATTCTTATGTTAATCCCCATACATTATATCATTAGTTTTAGATGTAGTGTTCCATGATTCATTGTGCATAACACCCAGTGAACATTCATTTACTTTTAAATAAATGTTTACTTTCTTTCTTCCTGTTTTTAATTACAAGAGCCAAACATTCAACTTAGTAGATGTATTAGGGGTGACAGCTGGGTCCACCTGAGTGGAGATATGACCAGAGGTGGAGTTAGACAACATTGCTTTGCCCCTTCACTCCCCATGCTCTTCTCCTGTAGACATCTATTTGCATCTCCAATATCTGTGGGAGCTAAAAAGCATTTCCCAGGAAGGAACTCAATTGGGTATGCTTTAGAAATACAAGAACATTTCCAGCAACTGGGGGTGGGGAGGCTCAGAGAGGAGGAGCTGGATTCAGTACAAGGCCAGAGGTTGGTTCTAGGAAGAGCAAGTTAGCTACATTGGACACCATCCCAGCACAACCAGTATGGGTGTTTTCTGGCCAGACATTGGTTTGATGAAACTGAATAAACAGGCTCACAGACTTCTCTAACTTGTTGAAATGAAAAGATGTGCATGACACAGAGAGGAGGGCAATTTATTTTCTTCCTTCATAGCCGTTGGAAAGTCTCTCAGCCTGAAAGGATGAAGAACAGGGGAAGCTAAGGCCAGGGGCAGGAGAAGGCAGAGCTGAGAGCTGCCTGGGGACCATGAAGTAAGGGAGCTGGCAGCTTCCTGGGAACTGAAGAGGAGTGTGAGAGGGTGGGTATGCAGCAGGGCCCAGCCCAGGCCAGAACCAGCTGCGGCCTAGTGGTTCTGAACACCGGCTGGGGATTTTCCGGAAACACCTCTAGGAGGTGGGAGGGAGAACCCTGAAAATTGAATAAGATCCTAGGTCTACCTGGGAGGGAGGTTGACAAGCTAATGTGACTCCATTGTTACCCCAAATTTAATGAAGCCTAGAAACATTGATGGTATACAGGCAACCTGCAAAATATAGAAAAGTAAAAAATCCTTTTCTAAGTGAAAAATAAACAAACAAAGAACCCACTAAAATCACCCTAATCCTACTTCTTAATTAACCTCTAGATGATCTCTCTTGTTTGCTGGATTGTATGTGGGCAATTGTGTGTATGGTTGTTTTCTCTTAAAACTATATAAAAGTGTCATGTTCTTTAAGCCTACAAAAAATCATATATAGATAGCATAGATATTTTTTAGGGCATTCTCTGTAGAAAATTTATAAAATATAGAAAAATAAAGAGGAAAAAAGACATTCATAATCATACCATCTAGAGATCACAATGATCAACACTGTGGTATTTCACCTTCTAGACATTCTATGAATAAAGACTGATTTCCAAACAATCGAAACCCAAAGGGAAAGCCCCAACCCTCCTCCCCATCCCCACATATTTCTTGCATATTCGGTGGTTTCTCCTACAGACTTTGACCAGTGCTGGTGACTAGCTGCCTAAGGAAGGGGGTGCCCTGGTTGTTTCAAGAATGATTCATGATGATTAATGTGATGAGTCCCTCTCTGTCCTTTTTTTCCCCACATCCTTCCCACTTCAAAGCATGAATTTCTTGAAGCATATTTCAGACTAGAGCTATTCTCTCTTTAACCACGTCTGGGTGTTGGGGGCCGGGGGACATGCGTGCTATTTTCATTTGCACGCCACTCAGACAGCTTTTGCACCAAGTGCCTGCTCTTCTGCTCCAGATGCCCCAACAGGTGGATTTCCACCGTGACTGCTGTGGGTGCCATCACAAACATGGTGGTTGTCTACGCCAAGGCCAACCAGTCCTTGGCAGGGCTTGTGGTCTCCAGGGGCTTCGAGGCAGTGGCACTGACTTTCTCTGCTGCCCTGACATGCATTTCTGAGAATCATTTTCTGCAAACCACAAGTAGCATAAAGAACCATTTATGGAGATTGGTGGCTAAGGGTTCCCTTCTCCTTTGTCCTTCCCATCTATGATGCCGCAGTGATAGGCAGTCCCCTTGTCATAAAATGTTCCTAGAGAGACATAAAACTTTAGAGGCTAAGCCCATATTTAGTGTTCGGGCTTGCTAGTTTCTACAGTCTTCTTTGTGCTTATTTGTGAAGGTCCGATCAGATGTTATGCAGCCCTCCTTAGGCCACACTCCCTATAATCCTTGCTCAGTCTATCTTCTGGAAATTTTCATCAACCAAAGTGGAATCTGTGATCTGTTTTAGGAAATTAATTTTCTTAAACTTTATTTTAAAGATTTTATTTATTGATTTATTTGAGAGAGCGAGAGTGCATGAGCTGAGGGAGAGGCAGAAGCAGATTCCCCACCGAGCGGGAAGCCTGATGTGGGGCTCAATCCCAGGACCCTGGGATCATGACCTGAGCCAGAGGCAGACACTTAAGCAACTGAGCCACCCAGGTGCCCCTAGGAAATTAATTCTTATGCTAAATATGCTTTTCCAAGTTCTACACAGGCAACCAAAGAGACTCAGATTCATTTTTCCTTGCAAGCATTCCTGATGAAGTGGGTGATGACTTCAAGAAACTTCTCAATACTAATTACAATGGCTATAGTTTACTGAGCACCCATCTAATGCCATGGCTCAAAACTGGGCTTTCCCTTTAACCTGTTTTATAATTTTGGGCAAATCACCTAACTTCCTGAGCCTTATTTATCTGTAAAATGGGGTAATTCTATTTATAAGATTGTGATGAGGATCAAATAGAGCAATATTTTGCCAAGTTTCTGGAACACAGTATTTGCTCAACATCGGTTAATTTTCCTCCCTTTCAGGCACTCTCAATGAAGTCTTCCGTATGTCTATACATATATGTATCCATATGTAACTATGCAATCAAGAAAAATGTATGCATGTGCAGAGACGTTAAGCTTTATTCGAGATTCCCATTTTTATAGTCGACTTTAAAAAAACACTTGATCATATACACAGAGAAGTGCATGAGTCTGCTCAGTCAAGAACTAGTTAATTCAGTCTTAAAATTAGACCAACTTGGGGCGCCTGGGTGGCTCAGTTGGTTAAGCGACTGCCTTTGGCTCAGGGCATGATCCCGGAGTCCCGGGATCGAGTCCCGCATCGGGCTCCCTGCTCAGCGGGGGGTCTGCTTCTCCCTCTGACCCTCCCCCTTCTCATGCTCTATCTCATTCTCTCTCTCAAATAAATAAATAAAATCTTTAAAAAAAAAAATTAGGCCAACTTGTAATGTCAGCAAACTGAGGGAATGACTTGCGTAATAAAGAGACAGACTCGTTCTGTGTATCCTGCAAAGTTAACAAAGGTTAGGACAGGCTAGCTCCGATTTCATAAACACAGCAGTATTCCAGCTTCTAAGGTAGACTTAGAACTAGAGGCATGTTTATAGTTACACTGATGTTTTAGTTACAAATATCCAGACTCTTCTGAGTCTGCCCTAGAGCAAAGCTGACCTCACGGGTCATCTAAGGGTAGCCCCTAATTTTCACAATTACTTGCAAATCAAACAAGAGTCTACGTCATCCAAATCCAAAGGAAAAATTTGCAACCATTTGAGATAAGCAAATGTATACTCCACAGGGTATATAAACTGCATTTCCTTAACAGATACTCACTCTATGGCATTTGGATAATTTATATTTTTCTGAGACCCTTCTACTTGCATTTCCTAGCCAGCTGGTAGATGCAATGTTGCTTTATCATAATGTAGCAGGATGCAGTGTGCATCCAAGGGTGCAAACATGTCAGCCTTGTGGACACCCTGTTGTGGAGGAAGGAGTGTTATTTAGGTGCCCAAAGAACTGACTTCAGCTCCGCTTCCAAAGCCCTGTCTGAGCTATGTCATTTTGTCTGGGGGTCTCTAGGCTCCTCATCTATAAAATGGAGGGAGGGGGATATCCAAAGTTCCTTCCAGCTCACAGTTCTCTACTATATAATACACAATTAGTCAAAACATACATTAGAAGCCCAAAGCTAACTTGGTTTATTTTCGGCCATTTTGCATTCATAGTTTCAAAAGTTTTATATAGTTGAGAAATGCAGGAACTAAAATGGCACAAAGTTTTTTTCCCCCCTCTGTCAAATGTACCTGCATTCATACTTGGACCACCCACAGATATAGAACCATCGTTTTATTTTCCATTATTTTATCACGAACATAAAATGTGGAGTCCATCTGGTAACAGACTTTATTACAGACTTTATGCATGACACGTCTGCGGCTAGGGAATAGACGAATGCCAGTCCTTCATATCCTCCCTATTGTCAACACAGAAATGCCACAGATCTCAAACCAAAACATGTTTCAAAAATCGGACTTCCACCCCACCCCGTATCCTGGAGGAAAAAGATAAACCTGATGACATTCTAAGACTTGGTGCCTGCTTTAGTTCAATTGCTAGTATTATAAAATGCTCATGCTGTTGAAGAGAAAAAACAAACCAGGTTAGGAGTTTTGTTCCTGCGTCTGCTAGTGGCCGGTTGAGCCAGCTCTGTAACTGCACGCTGATCACACAATCCTTTCAACTCACACGTCTGCAAGATCCTCAGTATTAACATGCATTAGCAGTTAGGGTCCACAGGCAGAGAGAGGGAACTTTTTTCCCCTACTGTAAATTCTTCACAGAAGAGGACACAGAGGCAGTTAACCCCGGGGTGGCTGAGAGCCTCTGTCAGGGACCGTGTGCATGGTACTGACCTGCTTCAGCTCCCTGGTGAAGTACATGTAAGTCACGGCCACGCAGAGGGACTGCAGGAGCGCTGTAAAGATCAGGATCAGCACGCACGTCTGCCCGGGACTGGGGCCCCCCAGGGCCTGCATCTTGCCGGGGTCCTGTCCAAATCTCACTGCTGCAAAGGCAGCCGGGCAGCAGGTTACTGTTGTCAAACCAACGAGGAGGGGTGGAGCTCTTCTTAGGTTTCACTTATTTAAAAATAGAAACAAAACAAAACTGAAAACAACAGGCTAGGAAGAGGAGAATTCCAGGAAGCTCTCTCCATTTTATAGGAATGTCAGGGACCAAGGAGGGAAACAGACATTAAAAATTTTTTAAACTGGAAGGGCTGTGTGTTGGGTCAAAGAGCTGCTTCCCCAGTGCTGGGAGCCTTTTGGGTCCCGTGGCTGTGCCTTTGCCCAGTGACTGTGCCAATTCCTAGGCTCCCATGCTGCATCTCATGCCAGCAACCTATCCCTGGGAGCAAGACCACAGATCTGACCATCAGCTGGGGCCACTCTAGTCTGGGGATGCAGGCTGCATCGGGAGAAGCTTCCTTTGTCATCTCTCCAACGTCACTCCGTGGCCCCATTCAGCAGTTCAGCGACCTGGCTGGTGTCTTTGGTTGGGAGGCTGTGTGGTGTGGGGGTTAGCAAACAACCTCAGGGGCTCAGACTGCCTGGAGGCAGATGTTGGCCCTGCTGCTTCCTGATGTGAAACCCTACCCGGGTTTTTAAGGGCTTTGTCCTTAAGCTTCAGCATCCTTGAAGTGGGGATGATAGTAACACCTACCCCAAAGTGTAGCTGGTGTATGAAATGAATTACTCATGCCTGGCTTCCTGGAGGTGCTTGGCAAATATAGCCTATAACCTTTCTAGCTACAGACATGGAGACTGGAGTGGACAAGAGGATGGAGCAGGGCCTGCTCACCAACTTAAAAATTAATTCCCTATTTAGTCCTAAGTGAGATTTTATTGACAGTGTGATATGGAATTCCAGAAAATGTCAGAAAGACCAAGGAAATGTACCTGAGTGGTTTAGACAAGATATATTCATGCCTAAGGATTAATGAGGTAAGAAATGTAAAGCATTCGTCGTGGTCCCTGGTTCCGCAACCCCAACTGTGTATATACATTTGTTTTGCCATCTTTATCTAGGTTATTATTTACGTACGTTAAAATTCATCAATTTCAAAGGTATGGTATACCCTGATAATTGTATACAAGGTGTAACCACCACCACGATCAAGTTATAGAATGCTTACGTTACTTTAAAAACTTTCTTCAGGGGCACCTGTGTGGCTCAGTTGGTTACGTCTGCTTTCAGATCAAGTCATGATCCCAGGTGTCTGGGATCAAGCCCCGCGTCAGGCTCCCTGCTCAGCCAGGAGTCTGCTTCTCCCTGTCCCTGTGCTCTCTCTCTCAAATAAATAAATAAATAAAAACTGTTTTCATCCCCCTTTGCCTGAGTTCAATTTTGAGACACTTCATTGAGTCCTGTGGCTATCTCTAATATTGACTTTCTAGGTTATTTTAAGAAGGTAGGTTACCTCTCTGGATGTGCTTCTGCTCTTATAAAATGAAGAATGTTGAAACAGACTTGTTCCTAGGGGCTCTCCCAGTACATTCAGAAAACAAGGAGGTGGGGAGCATACGGGCAGGATCTCAACTTTCCCTCTCAGTCCTTGAGAGCCCAAGGATGTGGCAGATACTAGTGGGTAGAATCCTGTGGTCCCTTGAGACAGACTAAGTTTCCATTCCCTCTCTTGGTACTATGTAAACTTTTCTCAGTCCACCTGTTTCTTCATCTACCATATCAGACTCTTTTTTTTTTTTAAGATTTTCTTTATTTATTTCAGAGAGAGAGAGAGAGCACAAGAGCGGGGAGGATCAGAGGGAGAAGCAGACTCCCTGCTGAACAGGGAGCCTGACGTGGGGCTCTATCCCAGGACCTTGGGATCATGACCTGAGCCCAAGGCAGTTGATTAACTGACTGAGCCACCCAGGGGCCCTCAGACTCTTTTTTTTAATTGAGATATAACTGACATGTAACTTTGTATTAGTTTCAGGTTTACAGCATAATTTGATATATTTGCATATATTCATATTATTTGTGTATTTTATAAAATAATCACCATAAGAAGTCTAGTTACAGTTTATCACCACACATAGGTACAGAATTTTTTTGTGTGTGATGAGAACTTTTATGAGCGACTCTCTTAGCAACTTTCAGATATCTAGTACAGTATGACTAACTATAGTCACCATGCGATACATTGCATTCCCACGATTTATTTATCTTATAACTGAAAGTTTTTATCTTTTGACCACCTTCACCCATTTTACCCACCCTTCCCTCTGGCAACCACAACCACCAATCTGTAACCTTTGTCCGTGAGTTCAGGTTTTTCTTGTTTTTTGTTTGTTTTGCCTTGTTTTTTAAGATTGCACGTATGAGTGAGATCATATAGTATTTGTCTTCCTCTGACTTATTTCTCTTAGCATAATACCTTCCAGGTCCATCTGTGTTGTCACAAATGGCAGGTTTTCCTTCTTTTTTATAGGTGAATAATATTCCATTGTATATATATACCATCTTTTCTTTATCCATTTATCCATTAATGGACACTTAGGTTGTTTCAGTATCTTGGCTATTATAAATAATGCTGCAGTGAACATGGGGGTACGTGTTTCTTTCAAGATAGTGATTTTATTTCCTTTAGATAAATGCCCAGAAGTGAGATTGATGGGTCATATAGTAGTTCTATTTTTAAGTTTTTGAGGAACCTCCACACTGTTTCCACAGTGGCTCTACCAATTTACATTCCCACCAACAGTGCACAGATGTTCCCTTTTCTCCTCAGCCTTGGTGACACTTGCTATCTCTTGTCTTTTTGATACCAGCCATTCGGACAGATGTGAGGTGATATCTCATTGTACTTTTGATTTGCATTTCCCTGATGATGAGTGATTAGCACATTTTCAGGTACCTGTTGATTATCTGTATGTCTTCTTTGGAAAAATGTCCATTCAGGTCCTCTGCTCAGTTTTTGATTGGACTGGTTTCTTTCTATTGAGTTGTATGAGTTCTTTATATATCTGGGATATTAACCCCTTATCAGGTCTATGATTTGCAAATATTTTCTCTCATTCCATATGTTGCCTTTTCATTTTGTTGATGGTGTCCTATGCTGTACATGAGTTGCGTGCAGGTTAGCTACTCTCCCAGAAACCTCACATCACATTATAATGAAAGTAAGGCTCAGACTAATTTCTCCCACACATGGAGCTATCACTAAACAAACACTTATTAGCAAACTGAAACAACCAGATCACCTGCCCTGCAATTTTATGAAGTCCCAGTTGTTTATTGTCTTGAGATGAGCAGTTCTCAGCCTTTTCTGCCCATTGAAATCACCTGAGGAGATTTAGAAAATACTGATTCCTGGGCCCCACCCCAGAGATTCTGAAGTAAGTGGTCTGGGGTGTACCCTGGGCATGAGAGGGTTTTTAATCTCCCCAGATGATTCCAATGTGCAGCCAGAGCTGAGACCAACTGACCTCTAAAAAATTTTAGATGCTCAGATTATCACCTTACACAAAATGTTCATTGAAGGCAGGAGTGACTGTATTTCATTGACTCTTCTCTTAGCACCAGGCAATCAGAATCCTCTTAATTCACAGCTGGACATCGAACAGGTTAGGAAACCTTAAATATCAATAATTTCAACAGACACCATGTCTAATATTCATTATTAACAAATCACTACTTCTACCAATGAAAACCAATTTCTGACTTTCATTGTGCCAATTAGCAGAGTTTATGGTGTGGGTGTGGAATGAACAATAAGAAGTATGGTAGCTCGGAGGGCCAGCTCTGTAATGAGAATGACAGAGACCACCTGTGGGTGTCAACTCATAGAACTCAGGACCTAGGGGATAATTTAAAGTAGTACATTTTATTTTTTGTTTTTTTCTAAAAGTTGTATTTATTTATTTTAGAAAGTGAGAGAGGGCATACATGCAAGTAGGGGGAGGGGCAGAGGGAGAGACTTTCAAGCAGACTCCCTGCCTAGCGCAGAGCCGGGTGTGGGGTGGGGGTGCAGGGCTCCATCCCTCCACCCATGAGATCATGACCTGAGCTGAAATCATGAGTCTGACGCTCAAGTTACTGAGCCACCCAGGCACCCCTTAACTAGTACATTTAAAAAATCACACTGTGCTCATGGTTCTCAATGCTGGTTGCATATTGGAATCATCTGGAAGCTTTTAAAAACATCAAAGACTGAGTCCCACCCCATAACTTTTAAATCAGAAGTTCTGGTGGTAGGACCCAGATATTGGTATGTTTTTAAAGTTTCCTCAGGTGACTCTTATGTGCAAGCGTTCATTTGTGATGAAGCCCTTTGAAGTAAATTGTTGGCATCATAAAAGGTGGCTAAGCTAATACATTAGACATGACAACAAAGACTAATAAAATCAAGTAGACAGTATCATCAATATTTACCTTTTATAGAATTTTTTATTAAAATTTCAGTGCCAGCTCGTAACTACTCACTCTAAGAATGTGTAAGTTTACAAAAAGAACAAGAGCAAGATTTGAAGAAACACAACACTGGAAACACATGTTCCTGATTGAACCCCACCCTTTATCAAGCCCTGAATTACTTAATCTAACGAAGGGTGTGTTCCAAGGTCCCCAAAGCACCTGCACTCTTACTCTGGAACAAAGGCTGGTAAATATTTTCTGGAAAGGACTGGGTAGTAAATAATCTTTGCGACCTCGGTTACAACGACTCGACGTCACCAATGCAGGGCAAAAGCAACTGCAGATGCTACATACATAGTGGGACTGTGCTCTAATGAAACTGCCTTCACCAAGACAAGAAGTGGGCCAGATTTGTGCTGACGGCCTAGGTGGCTGGCCTCCACCCTGGGGCGGTTCTGGAAGCCTGGTCACCAGCAGGATCAGCACCCCCTGGGAGCTTGTTAGAAATGCACATTCCCAGGCCCCCACCCTGGACCTCCGGAATTGCAAACTCTGGGGCTAGGCCCCTGCAAGCCCTCCAGGTGATGCTGATATGCATTAAAATCTGAGAACTGGTACTCTGCAATAATCCTTCCATGTGCACAGGGACGTCCTGTGTAGCTGTTTAAAGTCTACCTCTGGGCATTCTTATTCAGTAGGGCTACCAGAGGACCTAGTCTCTCTTAAGAATTTCAACAGAGGGGCGCCTGGGTGGCTCAGTCAGTTAAGTATCCACCTTCAGCTCAGGTCATGATCCCGGGGTCCTGGAATCGAGCCCCCCATGAGGCTCCCTACTCTGCGGGGAGCCTGCTTCTCCCTCTCCCCCACCTGTGCTCTCTCTCTCTCTCAAATAAATAAATAAAATCTTAAAAAAAATTTCAACAGAATTCTTAGATAAAGGGACTCATAACAGCTCTGCAGAAGTAGAAGCATGTACTTTGGATTGTCTTCCCTCACACCACCCTATGACAGGAGACCGTA